GACCTCCGCGACAAAAGCGCCGCTCGCGTGAAAGATCGGCGCGGGAGTCAACTGCGCGGGGCGGCCGGCCGGCCATGAGCTCAGCCCTGCGGCCGCGACGGCCAGATCCCCCAGTCGCCGCCTGAGGCGGCGCAGCTGGAAGCGGCCCCTCCGCCACGCGCGCGGCGCGAACCGCGCGGCCGAAGACGGAACGGGCGCGGCGCGGGCTGGCGGCGAGGGCCGCCGCGGACGACGAAGCGCTGGCCGAAGGCACGGCTGCCACCTGCGCGCCCGCGCCGCGCGGCTGCAGCCCCTCTACAGCCGGCACGTCGACAACGCCCACGGGGCAGGTCGGCGGCGACAGCCCGCCCGAATCGCCAAAGCCAGCGAACTCGCGGACAGACCCAGCCGGCACCGAAGTGGCATTGGGCCACGGCGCGGGGCGCTCTCCCGAGGCCCGAGGAGATAACCGAGCCACGCCGCTCGCAGGTGGCCCTGCGCTCTCGCTGCTCCGGCTCGTGGGAAGACGTCCGCAAACGCCGACGCTGGGCCCGGCAGGGGAGCGGGGAGGCCCCCGCGAACCCCTCGCGACCGCGGCAGGTCGAAAGGGCTCGAGCGACCCACGCCGTTCGCCGCGCCCGCAGCCGACGCCCGCCAGGCAGCGCCCGCCGACGCCGGGGGGGCGCCTGACGGGGTCGCGGGGGGATCCCCGCAGGCCCCGAGCGACCGCAGCAGACCGCGAGCCGCGATGACTCGAGCGCGCAACACCACTCGCAAGCGGCCACGGACTTGCCCCAACAGCCGACGCGCGGACGCACGAACGCGAGACCCCGCCGGCGACCCCAACGGAGGCCACTCCTGAAGTCGCAGAGGCGCCCGACGTCGTCGCCAGAACCGCCGCGCAACTCGGCGCGGGCGCCAACGACGCGGATGGGCCCCCCGCGAATCAGGAACGACCGCACGCGGCCACCTCGGCACGCGCGGCCGGCACCTCCTGCAGGCGCCCCCCCCCCCGAGGCGGGGGCAGGGCCCACAGCCGCGGGGGCGACGCGAGCCCCCAGCACGCAGCGGGCACCACGGCGGGCCCAGGCCGGAGAGCGGAAGGGAGAGCCCCCCACTCGGGAGAGGCCTGGCGGCGGGAGGAGACGCATGTCCAGGCGCCTCGGCGACGACAGGGCCCCCACCGTGGGCCCGGCGCGCGAGGCGTCGGATGCGCTCGTCACCGCAGCGGCGGGCTCCGACGAAGAGGCGCACCCGCACGGCGAAGGCAGGACCGCCGCGTCGGCACCCGCTACCTCGCAGGTCGCAACGAGCAGCTCGGCACCCGCCGAGCAAGCGAGGCCCCTGTGGAGCCACGGCGCAGCGATTAGAGGGCGGGAAGGAGAGGCGAGGCGAAGGTCAGCAGGACTCCCAGGAGAGGGAAGGCAGGCGGAATCGCGGCGGCGGAGGAGGGGCAGGGGCCCTCGACCCGCAACCTGGGACGGGGCCCAAGAGCCAGCGCCGCCCTTGGCGAGCGAGGGGCCCCCCCGCGAAGGGCAGCGGCGCCTGAGCGGCGAGGGTGCGCCCTCCCCGCTGCCGGTCGCCTGCGCGTTGTGGATGTCGTGACAGTGGACGCCCTAACAATCCTATCATTGAATCAAAAATGTGTTTAAGATGTTTGGAAATGTTCGACACATGATTTAAACATGCTTCTTGCATGTTCAAAGCATGTTTGAAGCATGTGTCAGACATCTGGAAACGGTCTCGCAGCAGCTTCCTCTCCATTGATCGTCCTCCACAACCTGCACGCGGCAGCTGGCCCACCGCCCCCCGAGCGCAGGCTGGCGGCGCAAAGCGACCCCGAAGCAGCATGAGCCCGGAGGGAGCGCCGGGGCCACCGCCTGCAGCAGTGACCCAAGAGCAGCCCGCAGCCCAGGCACTCCGCCGCGTAGGAGCTGAAGAAACCTGCGCGGCGGTGGCCACCGCAAGCCCCTGGAGCCCCGGCCGCGCGCGCGAGGCGGGGGAGAACGGGGCGAGCTGGGCAAGCTTAGGGCCGAGAAGCTGCAGGACCTGAACGGGCACAAGCGGCAAAGAAAATAAAGAGACGCATCACCGCTATCCTGAAAACGCACAGTGAAGCTGTTGCCGATCTGCGCCGCGCGCAATAGAATGCGACTGCTGAGCACTGCTGTCGGGCTGCGCTTCGGAACGGGTGTTTGATGCTATCTTTCGTTGGTCGAACTCTTGATTCGTTTGCCTGTCGCACTAGCTCTAACCATCTGGCGCACCAGGCTTGCCTCCCAACGCAAAGTGTGGATTCGTTTCGTTCCTCTGCATTGCCACGTGACGAGCAAAGCTGAACCGCACTGCGTCCGCCACCCAGCATTGCCGCGTGACGGAGTAGAGTCGGATAATTTTGCGATCGCCCCCTTCGCGTTGCCACGTGTCGAGGAGAGTGTGATAATGGGTTCGTCCCCTGCGTTGTCAGGTGCCGAACAGACTACAACAGCATGTGTTCCGCCCCCCCCCCCCTTCGCTGCCACGTGACGTCTAGAGCGGCTGTGCAGGTGCTTCGCCCCTCTGCGTTGCCGCGCGGTGAGCAGAATGGAATCGCATTTTCCGCCCGGAACTGAAATGGTGGGTTCCCCCCCCCCCGCATCCCCTGCGCTACCATGTGACGGGTACACCCTGCGAGATGCTTAAGAAATCATGGGTTAAGAAATTGATAGTCTCAGAATTTGAATAAGAACCCAGAATTCCTTTCGAAATATTAGGAATTACATTGAAACATTAAGAATAATCGAGACTCTGGCCGAAAACTTAAGTTTTCTTGAGCATCGCCTCAGGTGTAGAGCAGATGTGCATTTGTTCGCCCCTCTCGGTTGCCCCGTGGCGAGCAGAGTGAGATCGCATGTCCTCCGACCCCCCTGCACTGCCACGTGACGAGTAGAGTGCAATCATATTGTCTCGACCCCTTTTGCGTTGGCCCCACGACGAAGAAGTGGGGTGATGCGTTTTCGCCCTCCTGGGTCCCAGGAGTGCTGGAGTGACGAAACTGGATGATTTCCCCAACCCCGGCATTGCCACGTGACGGATTTTGCGTGCCCGATTGGCATCGCATTTCCCTGCCTCCCTGCACTGCCACGTGGCAAGTGAACAGAATAGCGGTGTCTCAGCCCCTTTGCGTTGCCACGTGACGTATCGTATAGATTTGCATTCGTTTGGCCCCTTTACGGCGCCGCGTGGCGACTCAAGTTGAATGTGTTTGTTTCGCTACATTGCGTCGCCGCGTGCCGAATGAAGTAGAATAGTTGTTGTCAGCCCCCCTGCGTCGCTACGTGGCGAGCAGAGCGGACTCGTTGTTTGTCCGCCCCCCCAACCACCCTGGCAGTGCCACGTGGCGAACCGAGTAGAGAAGTTGTTGTTCAGCCTTGTTGCGCTGCCGCGTGACGCACGGCGTAGAATGGAACATGTGTTTCGCCCCCTGCGTTGCCGCGTCACGAAAAACGTAAGATGAGATCTTAGCCCCCCTGCGCTGCCGCGCGGCGGGCGCAAAAGAATGTATGTGTTCTGCCCACCAGCGTTGTGCGTGACGGATGCGATGGAATAATGTGCCGTCGCCGTTGCCGCCGTCGTCATAGCCGTCGGCGCCGACGCCGCCATCGTCGTCGCCGTCGCCGTCGCCGTCGTCGTCGCCGCGACGCCCGCGCATCCACGTTATTTCCAGCGGCGGGTCGCGCGTGGCCGCGCGCGCCATTGCGCTCGCATTTCCGCTCCTCCGACGGGGGCCCAGGCGGACATCGTGAATTTCTTCCACCCACAACTTGTTAAAAGTACTAGTGGGAACATTACGCCTCTGAGTTCCGTTGCCGAGCTGCCACGCGATGTGCAGCGCAGAGCTGTAGCTGTTTCTCGCTCCCTCGCGCTGCCACGCGGCGGAGATCGTAGAGCAGCACTAATTCAAACTCTCGGTTACCGTTAGTGTTTTTCTTCGGGGTTGCGAATGGGGTATCAGAGCTGAGCATCGTGTGTTTGCCGCAGGTTGACTGACTATGGTCAAGGCCACGTAGGGTTTTGGGGTCAGCGTGTAAGGAGTGGCAGGGCCTCTGCTTGGGATGTGTGCTCAGAGGTAAGATTAGGTTGTTAAGGATGCGGGCCAGGGTTTACACGGTACGGTGAGGTTAATGCCCGACCAACCGACTGACCAACCAACCGATCCACCAACCGACCAACAAGCCAACCAACCAACCGACCAGCCGACCAGACAGCCAGCCAGCGAACCAGCCGACCAACCGCTAAACCAGCCGACCAGCCAACCAACCAGCGAACCACTCCAGGCATCTGTTGGACCCAGCAACCGGCCAACCAGTCGGCCAACCCACCCTTTCGAGCTCTTGTTGGGGATGTCTCGCGCGGCGTGCCCAGAACAGCTTTCTAAACCCTAAGAGAACTTCAAGCCCGTTAACGATTTCTGCAAACCCTGAAACAGCTCAGGTGCTGCCCCTTCTCCCCTTGAAAAGGTAGTGCGCGAACTTGTGTTGGCATTCATCGCCATGCTCGATTTGGCTATCAAAATCTCGAGGTTTGCCAGAGCTCTTCACCGCGGTCAGTCCTATCATGCGGGCCCTGATAAAGTCCACAGCAGTAATCTCCAGCTCCAAAGCCATGCCCGTCTTAGGATATCTGGTCCGAGGGTCAGCTGCTTGGGCTCGTTAACATTTGATGCTTAGTCGTAAGAACCCTTTTATATCGAGCCAGGCGGACTATAGAACGTAATAAAACTCAGGCCGTCTCTGAACAACTCCTCTGAACAAGTTCTGCACTCACGCGTATCATGCTATGCCCTCTGAGCTGTAACACTGCTTAGGCTATAAATCTTGATATCTGAAGGTCATATTGGCGACTTAGTGGGCCGTCTGAAGGCGTCTCGGGCCATCTGGGATCGTCCCGGAGCCCGCCAAGGCCTGGCGGGGGCGATTTTGGTCACTTGAGCCGCTTCCTGGTACCACTCCCTGGCACACGCCGATACTGACCATATAGAGGAGATCTCATTGGGCTTCAGCTTCGCCTCCCACATCTCGCTCAGCAACGCCAGCGCCCACTGCCACTGCTCGCCCTTCTCGCACGCGCTGATTCCAGCATTGTAGCTGATGACGTTGGGCTCCAGCTTCGCCTCCCGCATTTCGGTCAGCAGCGCCAGAGCTCGCTGCCAGTGCTCGCCCTTCTCGCACGCGCTGATCCCAGCGTTGTAGCTGATAGGCTGACCCGTGGACTACGTCCACGACATCTGCTCGAGGTTGCGAACGGTGTCTGGGTAAGCGTGCTCGCTTCTGCCAGGTGCCTTTTACAGCCAGTTGCGATTGCTGAGTGCTGTTTGTTGCCGCTTGCGGCCTTGATGTTTTGTCTTTCTTCGGTGCTTGCCGCTTCTGTCGCTTCTATCTGATCGATCCTTTCTTCTCCTCCTCCTCCTCCTCCTCCTCCTCCTCCTCCGCGTCCTCCTCCTTCTCCTCCTCCTCCTCCTCTTCCTCATCCTTCTCTTCCTCCTTCTTCTCCTGCGCCAAGGCGAAAATTACATGCTCAATGGAGGATGTCGCTGGCGCCTAGGCGACAGCAACATGTTCAGTCAGACATGCGGCCAGCGACAAGGGGAGAACGACGCGCTCAATGAAGGATGTCACCAACGCCTAGGCGACAGCAACATTTTCAATCAGAGATTTGACCCACGCACATGCAGGAACACCATTTCGAGATAAGCGAGTCGCCATAACGCAGGTGTCACACCCGCTTCGCTTGGGCCAGGTTCGGTGTCACCGAGGTCTGGGTGACGTCAGGTGGGTAGTCCACGTTAATTCGGGGGAGGGGACTTCTTGGGCCATCTGGAAGCGCCTCGGGCCATCTTGGGGCCTTCTCGGAGCGCGCGGAGGCCCGCCATGGCCCGCTGGGAGCGATTTGGGCGGCTTGGCGCGGCCACCCTTTTGGCGCGAGCAGGTCCCAACCGTAGGGTAGACTAGTGTACCAGTGGACTAAATCCACGGCGTGCCGAACACGCGACTCGCACACGGTTGGCTTAATCAACAAAACAGCTCGTCGAAGCCGAGCAACTCGTCGAAGCACCGGATCTCCAGGAAGCGTCCGAGTCCCAATTCAACAGAAATTCTGAATAACAGCGTGTCCCACCGGGAAGCGGTTTCTGTTAAATGTTCGTGAATGAGGGGGCCCGTTTGGGCTCCCCTCAGGTTCCCTGGGCTGTCTTGAAGCCCTCTTCGCTCCCCATGCGTGCTCTCTGCCAGCATCTCTGGCTCTCCAGTACTCCAAGATTTGCCCACGAGAGCTCCAAAATATAACCGACGTTGAACAGAACAGCACATCCAACAAAAAAGGGGGGGGGGTACAGTTATGCTGATATTCATGCTCTCTCGGAGCACTCTTGAGCACCACTGGGAGCTTCCCTCGAAGCTCTCCCGTGCTCTAAGACGCGCCCAAGAGGCCCCCCACATTAACAGACAAATAGCAAAAACGAAAAACGAAAAACACAACAGCGTGTCCAATCCAGAAAAGGTTGGAGCCCTCTTCTGGGGCCTTCTGAAAACTTGTCTGGGACCTCTGGGGGGCCTCTTGTACCATTTGGTGCGTCCCTTGGGCCGTCTTGGGGGCGTCTTGGGCCGTCTTGGGGCCATGTTGGGGATCTAGGGCCGTCTTGGAGCCCGCTTTGGACTATCGTGGGCAGCTTTTGGGGCCCTCTTGGAGTTGTCTTGGAAGGCACTTGGGGGGGCGTCTTGAAGCTCTCTTGGGCCGTCTTGGGGAGCTCTTGGGCCGTCTTGGGTCCCTCTTTAAGGCTTCTTGGGCCGTGTTGGGGCGATCTGGGAGTGCCCTGGAGCCGTCTGGGGCTGTTCTGGACCCGAAGCAAGGAGAACCTGAAAATCGCTTGAAAAAACACAAAAATGTTTGCTTTCGAACTCGTCGGGCCGTCATCGGGATTTTCTTTGGCATCTTGGGAGTCTCCTGGCTTCCTTTGGGGCCGTCTAGGGCTGTTTTGGCGTTCGCATGGAGTCCTCTTGGACCGTCCAGGCGCCCTCTCGAGCGGCTCTGAGCCATCGTGGATCGTCTTGGAGCCCTGGCGGCAGTCCGGGGCCGTCCAAGGCCGCCCCTGGCGCCCCAGCGACTGCCTAAGGCCGCCCCGGGAGTGCCGGGCGACGCCCCGGGGCGAGTCTTTGCGATGCCTTCTCGCACGCGCTGGTCCCAGTAGTGCCGGACAGGCCAGGGCTGACCCGTGGACACCGCCCACGGGAGCAGGAGTGCTCAGCCTGTGCCTGCTGGTGCTGATTACGCCAGGGTGCCTGCTGCTGTGTTTCATGACGCTACAGTCAGCCCGTATAGTAAGGATGCGGGATAAGGATGCAAGGGCCTTGGACGCCCATTTCGAAGCTTTTCGAGCGAGGCGCGGCCAACGAAAGTGGCCAAGGATGGACATAGGAGGCAGGGATGCAAGGGTACCCTTGGAAAGGTTACCCATTCTTACTGTGCGGGTTGACTGTAGCGGCGGCGGGGGCAGCGCTAGCAGTAGCATTAAGTTGGGCAGGTCCCCCTACACGGGGATTTTGGACGAGAAATTAAAAATTAGTCAAAATAACCAGAAAGAATTCAAACATGCACAAAAAATCATCCCCATACTATGTTTCTAACTATTTTGAATATTCCTCCTGTAGAGGGACGTGCCAGACTTAACAGTAGCAGCAGCATCAGCAGATCCAGCAACACCAGTAGTGTCAGCAGCAGATCCATCAGCACCAGCAGCGCGGCCCTCCAGGGGCTCCTCCCAGCGCAGCGGCGATTCGGCGAAGCAACGTAACTAAATAGCGGTTGCTCGGCGGAACAGAGCCAGCAGCGGCAGCAGTAGCAGTGGCAGCAGCGGCAGCAGCTGCAGCAGTGGCAGCAGCGGCGCGATGGTGAAGCGGAACACCCTGACTCTGCGATCTGGCCCCTCGGGGACGGAGTTACTGCTCGCCCCCTGCACAGCCACGTCTCCCGGCATTGGCAAGGAGATGACGTCGGGCTTCAGCTTAATTTCCCACATCTCGCTGACCAGCGCCAGCGCCAACTGCCACTGCTGGCCCTTCTCGCACGCGCTGATCCCAGCGTTGAAACTGATGACGTTGCGCTCAAACTTCGACTCCCACATCGCACTGAGCACCGACAGGGCGTGTTGCCATTGTCCGCTTTTTCTACATGCGCTGGCAATCGCAACGTAGTGGCCTGGGAAAAGTTGCACGCCTGATTGAACCCCGTGGCGGAGCAACTGCAGTGCCGCGCACCACTGCTTTGTCTGATCGCACTTCCTGATTGACGCTTCGAGAGGAACAAAGCCATCTCGAGACCATCGACCGGTGTCCAACATCCAAGAACATGAATGGCACCGCAGCGGCTTCAGCCCAACATGGCTTGAGCCGCAACGGCCTGAGCCAAAATGGCCTGAGCCTGAATGGCCAGCGCGTGGGCCGCTCCGAGGTCGCACGGGTCCCCGAGGAAGGGACGACGACGACGACGACGACGACGACGACGACGACGACGACGACGACGACGGACAACGACGAGGGGAGGAGGAGGAGGAGGAGGAGGAGGAGGAGGAGGAGGAGGAGGAGGAGGAGGAGGAGCAGGAGGAGGAGGAAGAGGAGGAGGGAGTAGGAGGAGGAGGAGGAGGAGGAGGAGGAGGAGGAGGAGGAGGAGGAGGAGGGGGAGCTAAAGGAAGAGAAGAGGAAGAGGAAGAGGAGGAAGAGGAGGAGGAGGAGGAGGAGGAGAGGAAGAAGAAGAAGAAAAAGGAGGAGGAGGAGGGGGAGGAGGAGGAGGAAGAAAAGGAGGAGGGGGAGGAGGAGGGCGGAGGGGGGAAGCGCCAGAAGAGGTAAGGGGAGGGGGCTTTGGGGTCAAACTCGGGTTTCTTGCGGCCGCGCAGGACGATGAGAGGTAAACGGGGGGGGCGGGTAGCGGGAGGGCAAGGGAGAGAGGGGAGGGCAAGGGGGAGATGCGCACCACTTCGGACGAAGGTGTTTCTCCAGGCCCCGAGGCGACCAGCGCCACGCAGGCCTTCCTCACAAGGCAGAAGACGCCGCGGCCGAACGGGGGCAAAAGCATCCTGACCCCTGGCGCGGTCCGTGTGAACCGCGACTGGAAATCAAAGCGGGATTGGGGCGATCAAGCCACTCAAAGGCCCGTCTGCGCACCCGTGGCAAGCAAAAAAAAAAAAACGCCTTTTACACGCGCGATGGCATGCGCGATGTGACGCCTGCGTCCGAAAAGGCACCACAGTGGGGCATCCCTCGCGGCGGCCCCGCGCATAGAGCTAACAGAAAGTAGCCAACAGCTCGCGCAGCGCAATCAGCTAAAGGCAAAAAACACTGGCGCGCTACCGGCGGGCATCTTGACGGGCCCGGTCGCTCGCCCGGGGAGACGCCCAGGGGCGAGGAGCGAGCGGGCCTGATGAAGGGTTATCCAGGCGGTCTCTGCTGTGTAAACGTCCAGGTCAAGCTGGCGCTCGCCGACGAGCTGGTCGAAGCTCGCATCCCCCGTCGCGGCGTTCAGCGACATGGTACTCGAGACAGCGTTCGTCCCACTCGGGGGTTCGGGGGTCGAGCTGCTGCTCCTCGACGCGATGCCCAGCATCGAGACGCCACCGCTGGTCGCGAAGCTCAGCGGCGCAAGACTCGAAGCAATGCCAGCGCCAGCCAGGGCGCTAGCGCCCCCAGTCGCACTGCTCAGCGATACGCTGTCGGCGCCCGCCGTGGCGGTCAGCAACGCGCTGCCCAACGTCAAAAAGCTGAGCACTCACCCCGCAGCTCAGCAACGCGGCACTCGAGGCAGCGCTCGCCTCGCTGGCACACGTCAGGGTCAAGATGGCGCTCGTCGACGGGCTGCTCAACGGCGCGCTGCCGGTGCACGCCGCGGCGGTCTGCGACGCAGTCCTCAACGCAATACTCGTCCCACTCGTGGCCATCAGGCGGCAGCTGCTGCTGCTGTCCGACGCGCTGCTCAACGCCGGGGCGTTAGTTCCCGTCGTGTTCAGCGACGACGTAGCCGATGAATTTGCCACCCCACGCATGGACGTCATGGACGAACTGCTGCCCCCATCCGCGCTGCCCAATACTGCGCAGCTGGTGCCCGCCGCGATGGTTAGCGACATGGCACTCGAGACCATGCTCTTTCTGCTCTTGGACGTCGGGGCACAGCAGCAGATGCTCTCCGGTGGGTGCACTGCTGCTCGGCGTCGAGATGCCAGTTTTCGTCGCGTTGCCAACCGCGGCGGCACTCGCAGCAGCCCCCGCCCCACCGGCGCACACCGGGGCGCTGGCGCCCCCAATCGCGCTGCTTAGCGACGCGCTGCCGGCGCCACCCGCGGCGGTCAGCGACGCACAGCTCAGCGCCGAGATGCCAGCGCCCGTCTCGCAGCTCAGCGACACGGCATTCAAGGCAGTGCTTGCCCCGCTGGCGCGCAACCGGGTCGAGCTGGCGCTCGCCACCGCGCTGCTCAGCGGCGCGCCATCTGCGCCCACGGCGGCGATCAGCGACGCAGCGCGCGAGGTGGTGCTCGCCCCACTGTCGCCCGTCAGGGTCGAGCAGGCACACTCCGACGCGCTGTGCAACGGTGCCATGCCGGCGCCCGTCGCGCTGCTCAGTGGCGCGGCACTCACGGCAGCGCTTGCCCCAATGGAGCACGCCAGGATCGAGCAGGAGTTCTCCGACGCGCTGGTCGAAGCTCGCATCCCACCCCCAGCGGGCCAACGCGGGGCCCCATCCCAAGTGGGCCGGATCGAGGAGGCCAAGAAAACCAAGGGGCCCAGACAGGGAAATCAGGGGACCCGGAGCAACCAAACCAACCAATGGGCTGCTCAATGATGCGCCGCCGGCACCCGTCGCGATGGTCAGCTACCTGGCACTCGAGACAATGCGCTGGCCCATGTCGACGCGATAGTGACCGTCGCGTTGCTCGGCGACGCGGCGCCCGCTGCAGCGCCCACCCCGCCGGTGCACGTCGGGGCGAGGCCACTCCCAGTCGCGCTGCTAAGCCCTGCGCTGCCGGCGCCCGCCGCAGCGGTCAGCGACGCGCTGCTCAACGTCGGGGCGCCCGCGCCCGTCCTAGCTGGCGCCCGCCGACGCGACGCTCGACAGCGCGCCGCTGGCACCCGTCGCGGCGTCGGCGACATAGCACCCAAGGCAGCGGCCAACGACGCGGCACACGGCAGCACTCGCCCCCCTCGCGCACATCAGAGCCGAGACGCTGCCTCCCACACGCAGCTCAACGATGCGCCGCGAGCACCCGTCGCGGCGGAAAGCGACAAGGCAATCGAAACAATACTCGCCCCACACGTAAGCGTCAGGGTCGAGCTGGTGCTCGCCGACGCGCTGCTCAACGTTGAGATGCCAATACACTTCGCATATATCCGCGACGTAGCACGCGGACCAGCATTCGCCCCACTCTCGGTCGCCAGGGTCGAGCTGCTGCCCTTGGACGCGCCGCCACACGATGATCTGACGGCACCCGCCGCGGCGGTCAGCGACGTGGTACGAACGGCAGCGCTCGCCCCACTCGTGAACGTTAGTGTCGAGCTGCTGCTCTCTGGCATGCTGCTCGACGTCGAGATCCCATCACCCGTTGCGCTGCTCAGCGGCTCGGCACTCGGCCAGGACTCGCCCCGCTCGCGGCCACGCGGGCGGCGCTGGCGCTCCCCGACGCGCTGCTCAACGTTGCGCTGCCAGCACCGATCGCGGTGCTCAGCGACGCGGAACACGACGCAAGGCTCGCCCAACGCGCGCGCGCGCCAGGGTCGAGCTGCAGCTCCCCGACGCGCCGTTCAACGACGCGCTGCCGGTTGTGGTCGCGATGATCATCGACGCGGTACTTCTGGCAGCACTCGCGCAACGCGCGGGCGCTGGGGTCGAGCTGCGGCCCCTGGGCGCGCTGCTCCACGATGCACTGCTGGCGCCCGTCGCGGTGGTCAGCGACGCGGCACTGATGGTCGCGTTCGCCCCACTCGTAGACGTTTGCGTCGAGCTGCTGTTTCCGGCAAGCTGCTCGACATTGAGATGCCTCGCCCGCTGCGCTGCTCGGCAACTTGGCACTCGGCCAGGACTCGCCCCGCTCGCGGCCGCGCGGGCGGCACTGGCGCTCTCCGACGCGCTGCCCAACATTGTTGCCGGCACCGGCAGCGGTGATCAGCAACGCAGAACTTGAGACAACGCTCGTCAAACGCGCGGGCGCCAGAGTCGAGCTGCTGCTCTCCGACGCGCTGTTCAACGTTGCGCTGCCGTTGCCTGTCGCGGTGATCAGCGACGCGGTACTTACGGCAGAACTCGTCACGCGCGTGCGCGTCGGGGTCGAACCGCTACTCTCCGACGCGCTGCTCACAGCCGGGACTCCGGCGTCCGTCGCGCTGCTCAGGGACGCGGTGCTGGACGCAGTGTTCGCCCCACTGGTGCACGCAACGGTCGAGCTGCTGCTCTCTGACGCGCCCCTCAACGGCGCGCTACTGGTCAAGGCCATGCCACCTAGCGACGCGGCGCTCGAGGTAGTACTTGTCCCACTCATGGACGCCAGAGTCGAGGTTGATATTCTCCAGCGCGGCGCTCAACGTCCGGATGCCGGAGCAGGTCTTGGCGGTCCACGACGCGGAACTCAAGGTAGCACTTGCCCCCCTCCTGAACGGCCGCGTCGTAACGCCTCCCGCAGGCGCGCTGCTCAGCGATGAGCTGCGAGGACCCGTCATAGTGGTCAGCGACATAGTCCTCAACGCAGTGCTCGTCCCTCTCGCGGGCGTCAGGATCCAGCTGCTGCTTTCCGACGTGCTGCCCCCCGTCGAGGTGCCAATTCCCGTCGCGCTGCCACGGCGCGGCAATCGTTGCAGCAATCACCCAACGCACGGACGCCAGCGCACACCTGACGCTCAAGTCCGCGCTGCCCAACGATGCGCAGCTGGCACTCGTCGATGCGGTTAACGACATGGTTTACGAGACGGCACTGGCGCCGCTAGTGGACGTGAGGGTAGAGCTGGTGCTCTCCGACGCACTGCTGCTCAAGGTCGAGATGCTAGTATCCGTCGCGTTGCTCTGCGACGCGATGCTCGAGGCAGTACTCGTCCCGTTCATGAACGTCAAGGTCGAGCTGCTGCTCTCTGACGCGCTGTTCGACATCTACATCAGTGCCCGTCGGCGCGGTACCGAGGGCAACACTCGCCCCCCTCGTGGACGCCAAGATCGCGACATTGCTCTCCCACGCGCAGCTCAACGATGCGTTGCGAAAACCCGTCGCAGTGCTCAGCGGCATGGCACGCGAGATAATACTCCTCCCACACACATGGACATCGGGGTCGAGCTGGTGATCGCAAGCGTGTTGCCCAACGTTGAAGGCTATAACCCATCGCGTTGCTGGCGCCAGCCGTGGTGGCCAACGACATGGTACTCGGGGCCGTACTCGTCTTTTCCATGAGCGTCAGGGTCAAACTGCTGCTCCCCGACATGCTGCTGCACGCCGAAATTTTAGTACCCGC